CTCAGTTTAAGAAAGACTTGGATTCCTATCTCAAAACCCGTTCTCCAGTCACTTTTTTGTCTGATTTGCGCAGCAACCTACAAGTGAGTGGCTGGTTTTTGAAGATGCTGAATTTAGTGTGGGACAAATGATCTTGCTGGCTGAGCTGCCCTTCTTTCTTGCAGGAATTTTGTTGGGTGTGTAGCAAGCCTGTGTTCTAGGCAGTAGAAAAGCCTGTGAAAATGCGTACTTCTCTGAATAATTCTTCTACCACTCCCTAACAGGATGTTAAGTAGTTCCAGCCAGGTGGAATTTAGGGAAAGAGGAATGTTGACTTTAAAGTGATATGATTTAAAAGCAGTTGGTTTTAACTATGTGACCTGCCAAATGCTTATGGTGAAAACGTAAGGTTATCCAAAACCTTGACTCTTCTGTCATGTCTCTAGTGCACAATCTTGCAAGCCTTTAGTGAAGAATGTAGTCAGAGCTGATTGCATCAAGCTTACTTTTTTATCCTCAGACGTTGGGTGATTAATATTCTCGTGGCTTCTACCACACAACTCCAGCACTGTTTACCCAAGCATTATCTGAGTTTGAGGGGTTTATTGAGCTTGACTGTGGTTTTTTAGAATCTGATTAAATTTTGACTTCAAATGGATTCATTGTTACAGAAATCTATGGATCGGTATGCTAATGCTTTAGGGGTAAAAAAAAAAAAGGCAAATAAATTAGTTAAAGCCCAGTTAACCAACAACATTTTGTACGTCACATGGCCTGACTTGCAACAGACTTTAGGACTGAAGTTGGACTTTCTCAGAAAATCGCTCAGACTGATGCATTCATACAGCATGGTCTGCATTTCAGCACTGGTGAATTCAGATTGCCTTTACGTAATATTTTCTTTTAGGTAGGGAGTACCAAAATTGTCTGTTGGGTCAGTCAACACTTTGCTGATGCTTTTGAGTGTGTGTGTGTGTATATATATATACACACACTTAAATATATAACTGCTGTGTTACAGAAGGGTAAACACCAGATTGAATTTGTGGATGTCTGAGTGTGTTGTCCTCTGTATAATCAGGAAGACATTTGGATGCTCTTGTACATGCTGTACCTTTGATTGCTGAAGGAATATAGAACATTAATGCTTTTTATATCTTTGCTATTAGGTATCAAATGAACCCGGCAACCGCTACAACATCCAGCTGATTAATGCACTGGTGCTCTACGTAGGTACCCAAGCTATTGCGCACATTCACAACAAAGGCAGCACACCCTCTATGAGCACCATTACCCACTCAGCTCACATGGACATCTTCCAGAATCTGGCCGTAGACCTGGACACAGAAGGTAAGCTGGAAACACTTCTAGTTTGTGATGTAGAATTTAACAGCGGATTCTCTGTTTGAGCCATGAGAAATACAAAGATCTTTTCACGTAGCTGGTAGTAAATTCAGAGTAAGTAATGCTACGTTAGAATATTCAGCTCTGAATACAGGAGCAATATTAAAACCAAGCGCTCGAGGTATTCAAGGGAATGAGGAAGATGATTGAGGAGGAGGAATTGAATTCTTACTGCCCCCTCAGCTTGGGTTGATAAGGCTTTTTCACATCTTCCATTGGTTTTGTTCCTTGTGCCTTCACAAGGCAGGCTTACAAACCTCAATCTTCAGCAATACTAGGTGCTGCTTTATTCCTTTTTGTGTGTGTGTAAGGGAAACCGTATGTACTCACTGTTCCGTTCCTGCAGGCCGGTACCTTTTCCTGAATGCAATTGCCAATCAGCTGCGATACCCCAACAGTCACACCCACTACTTCAGTTGCACCATGCTGTACCTGTTTGCAGAGGCCAACACTGAGGCTATCCAGGAGCAGATCACTAGGTGAGAGGGAAGGCATTTAAGTTTCCAGCATGCGGCTTTTCACTTTCCTTCCTCGTGGAATTTGGATCTTTGAGCTCTAACTGGTTTTACTTTTTTGGATTTCAGGGTTCTCTTGGAACGACTGATTGTAAATAGGCCTCATCCCTGGGGTCTCCTTATTACTTTCATTGAGCTGATAAAAAATCCAGCATTTAAGTTCTGGAACCATGAGTTTGTTCACTGCGCTCCAGAAATTGAGAAGTGAGTATAACTGAACCACAGAATCACTAAAACAATATATCTGAAGCAGGGGCTGAGTTGCACCTTGACTTTCTGGCGCTTTCTAGCAGAAGCACAGTTCCCTGCTGTAGACACACCTAACGCTGCTTTGCTTCTGTGCTCAGGTTGTTCCAGTCAGTTGCACAGTGCTGCATGGGGCAGAAGCAGGCCCAGCAAGTAATGGAAGGGACTGGTGCCAGTTAGATGAGCTGCATCTTGCATTGCAAGCGTGCCAGCCTGGAGGTCCCCGTCCCATCGACCGACAGAAGACTCTGTAAGACTCCTCCTGACCTTCCCAGCCCCCTCGATTGGGTAGACGCAACAGACCCTGGGTGAAAGTCTATGTGGGCATGTTCCAAAGTTTGAAACAAATTTTTTTGACTTTTGGCCAAAATTCAGAAGATGCTGTGAATATCATTTTGAACTAGTGTAAATACAAGGAACAGAAACGTTTGTCTGGACTTTTGGGTTTGTGCAAATTGTGTAAAAGGCAGGTGGGTAACTGGTGCCTGTCCAGCTTGTAATAAAGGGGCAGCTGCTGATGCCAAGCACTTGTCTGGGGCAGACCTCCTTGTCCTGACATTCCCAGACTCCCAAAGAATATTGAAAAGCCAGTTATAATATTATGTAACTTATTTTTCTTTATGTGGATGGGGGACCTTTAAATCACTAAGGTGTTTTATGAAAAAAAAAAAAAAGAAAAAAAAAGAAAAAGGTGGATGTGTTTGGAATATGGGAATACTACGGAATATGGGAGGGGTGAGGGAGGGGTTAAGGTTCAGTGTTGCTTTCCCCCCACCTGCATCAAATGCTGACAGGCAGCAAGTGGAGTGGCAGTCAGAGAATGTCTCTTTCCTGTTGGAGAAGACACACCTCAGGCCCTTTGGGAGAGGGTCAGCTGTTTTTAGTAAAGAAACCAGAGACCAGGCCTATAGCTTTTTTTTTTTTTTTTTTTTTGACACTTGTAAATTTTGGAAGGTGGGGGGTTAAATCTAGGCCTTTTCCCACCCCCCCACCCTGTGACCACACAGTATAAGTTTGTAAAAAAAGGGAAAAAAAAAAAAAAAAAAAAAAAGAAAAAAGAAAAAAAAAAACCAAAACGAAAAACCCAAAGGACCAATACAGCCCATTTTGTAAGGATTTTGAATGTTTTGTAAAGTATTGGTCCATGTGTTGTATTTTGTAGCCTTTCTAGTTCTTGGGCTTTAGTTCTCCCACTTCTTGTATGTATGCATACTGTAGTTACACATTAAAGTCATGACATGCAGCACGTGCCACTCTGCTTATTCTCTCCAGTTCCATCCTGCCTGGCCAGTTGATGTCTTTCAAAGTCTGTTCCACTCATCCAAAACCTGCAGTTTTCCAGTGTGTTTTGGGCACTGCCTTACTGACAACAACTGGGTTTGTTCTCTAGTGTGAGGTCAGAGGGGAGAATCGTTAGGGCTACACAGGGCCGTGCTTTGAAATGCAAAAGGACAGTTGTGTGGAGATAGAAATATCCGAGTTGCACGTTCACGAGCTGAGTTGGTCTCTGAGAAAGTTGTGCTGGAAAGGAGACTGCTGGCAGCGGAGGCGTACAGAGCACGGTCAGCAGAGCAGCTTCGTATCTAATGACTTGCACCCTGCCACGATATTCCCTTCAGCAAGGCCCTGTGCAAGGTTTCTGCGTAGCTGGAACAAGGATAGGTGCCTCCCGTGTGCTGACACTGTAAAATCTTTCAGCCTGTGCCTTTGCAACCTAGCAGATACTAGGAGATACAGCTTCTCTGCTTTCTTTTCGGGTAACATCACTAGTTCAGTTAAAGTTAGTTGTTAGTTAACTGCTGTTGCGCGGGTAGAGGTCAGGATTCCCTGCTCATGTTTAAGGGATTCTGTACCTGGCTGTGCTCTGGCTGCACAAAGCAAAAACCAGCTCCAAGGGACCGCTGAGCCAGCGATGCCTGCAGCTCAGAGGGAATTCTCTACCTGTCACCTTATTTCTAGGCCGTGTTTTTCAGTCAGCCGTGTGGCAAGGAGTAATCTCTGGCCGGTTCCTATACTTCCTTGGCATTTCTTTGGCAGGTCAGCAGTTACACTGAAATTGAGCCTTTTGAATTTTTTGGATTTTTTTTGGTTCTGGTGTTGCAACTCCAGCTTACTCTTTCTCCTGTATTGGGTTAGGACGCAGAATTACCAGCAACCAGTTTTTCTTTATCTAGTCCAGATGCCATGGGCATTTTTTTTTTTTTTGCCATTTAACTAGCAAACCATATGCAGAGCTTAATGACTTGCCCTAACGACTTAAAGCTCAAAGGTCTCTCTGGTTCTGTACTAATGCTGGTGTACACAGCTCATTTCCTTTATGTTTTAAGAACTGCTAGGCTGGTGTAAAGAGGGGAGGGGCAGGAAGGTGGACAGGATCTGGCTGAGTAGGATGGAAGCCACTGCACTTCATATCCTCTCTTGGCAGTAAGGAACTTGTCAAAGTAAGGAGTGCTGGTGTCAGCTCCCCAGGGGTTACCAGTGTCCTTGCCAGCAGCACCCCTGGGTAGAATGCGCTTCATGTTTAAGAAGCTAAGACTAACCTTCTGAACCACTGTGCCTAGTCTGAAATCTCATCTGCCATAGGAAGAAAAGTGCCAAGGTGGCAGGCTGGACTCTCTAATCAGCCACTGCATTACACCACTATAAAAGGGGAATTAAAAAGCAACCCTAAGTACTGTTAAACCACCCTGGCCCCCAGCAGCGCAGGCAGGGCTGTAGCTGACCTCTGTCTACAGAGCACAGTCTGGGTTTTGCTTGTTTGCAATACTTGTAGCTGCAGCAGCAGCAAAGATTCCCCCCCCCCCCCCCCCCCCCCTGCTTCAGATGGGGCTTTGCACCCTGGTGAAGTAGGCAGCATTGGCTGAGTAAGAAACATCTTTATTAAATATAGCTTGGCCTGCCAACCTCCAGTGTTTTTTCATGCAAAAACTGCTGAGGGGAAAAATAATATTAATAGAGTTAAACATGATGCAGAGCAATGCTGGACTTCGGGGAAGAACTGTATCACCTGGAGGGTGTGTATCAAATGCTTAGCCTGCAGCAGCTGCAGAACTGACAGTGCTCCTTTAATCTCAAGCCCATACAGAAATGCTTTTTATAGAGGTAAAGATCTTGCTACACCGAGCCTACATGAAAACCAGATGGATGGGCCTGTACTCTCTAAAATGCTCAGTATTAACTAAGTATAGGTGAAGAGTTTGCTGCTGTCAGCATCTCCACCCGCCAGATGTTTACTCTGACCCTCTCTAAGGTAAGAGCTACCAGCTGGATTTCTGCCCTCTTCATCCGGACGAGGAGCAGTTCTTGCATTAGATTCCTGATGCTAAATGAGGGAACCCGCTTGCTGTTCTGACAGTGTATGTCTGCCTTCCCAAAACAGCCAGCAGGACCTCGGGGTTTTAACTCTCTAGAAGGTGGTAGTTGTGGCTCCAGAGCTCTCGCTGGAAGATACGGCCACCCGGAACCACTTCTGTGCTGTGGGAGATGCTTTGTTTAGGCAGAGGTAGCTAAAAAGCCACGTGCCACGAGGGACAAGTGGGGCCCGTATTCAATCTTGCCCTTTCTTCTGGCTGCTGTAGAAGAGATGGCCAAAGGCTGACCTGCCCTTCCCGAGCACAGTTCCAGGGGCAGCGAGCTTTTTACCGTACCAGCTCTAGCAGCTGATGCAAGATCCTTTTCTGGCCGTAGCGCACATGCAAAGCTTGCTGCTCCCTTCGACTCAGTTTCTCATAAGCCTCTTTGTTATTTAGCAAGTCCTGCTCTGCTTTCAAGTCTGACCCGTAGGACTCCAGGGTCAGCAGCACACTGTCGTAAAGGAGCTTCTTGCAAGGGGTTTTAAGCCTGGAGAGAGCCTCATTAGAAAGGGTAGAGTTTTCCTCTTCCTCGCTGTCGTCTTCCCAGCCATCTTGTTCCTTACATGCTTTGAATTCTTCTTCTGACATGCAGAGCACCTGTAACGACCCAGGCAAAGAGACAAGGCAGTGGCACTGTGGGTACATGGGGCTTCCTCCCCTGCAGACCTGTTTAAGAGCCATGGGGAGCAGGTGAATTATTCCTCAGCTGTGCTAAAGGCGAGAGAGTAAAACTGGCTTGGGTACCTAATCACGAGTAACTTGTGGGTTGGAAGAACATTCAAACAGCAAACCTGGGTGTTGGTAGCAGTCTTAGAGGACGTCTCAGCTGCTGCCTACAAAGACACGAAGCTCTCTGGAAGGGCAGTAGCCAGGGAGCCGTTCACCACTGGGATGTAAGCACAGGTGGGTGGCTAGTTCAGGAGAGGAAGGTGACTAACTGCCTGAAGCCTGGGAGCTGGGCAGGCACACCCCCCCTGCCACTTGTCACACAAGGGGGAGCGCTAAGAGCAAAGCGACTTCACGTGCTTGTCCGTTTTTTCAGGCCGGTTTGCGGGGCTGCAGTATTGCTTAGTCTGTGCCCTCCCTTGTGCAGCCCTTCCACCCCTGGGCAGTGCTCACCTTCAGGGTCACGGACAGCTCCTCCTCTGTCAGCACCTCATGCCAGCCAAGCACAAAGGCGCCTTCCTCCCCCACCATCTCCAGCTGGCACAAGAAATCCCACTGCTCGGAGACCAGCCGCTGCTGCGCTTCGCTTCCAGCACCTGCTTTGAAGACAGCGGAGCTGCAGCCCCACCACCTCGGGTTGCAGGGGGCGAACGAGGAGCCGGAAAACCCCGGGCATAGCCCCAGCACCTGAAACGCTCTGCGAGAGGCTGATTTTTTTTTTTTTTCAGGTCAGCCTTGATCCCTCGTTCCGTCCCCATTTCCCAGAGATCCCTGTGTGTCCCCCCCCCGCCGCGGCTCCGGGTGCCACTCACGCTGCAGCGCTGCCTCGCGCACTGTCACCATCTGGATGTCGGCCGTGTCGTTGGTGTTGCCGGGGTAGGGCTCCGCGAAGCCGTACATGTGCAGGAGCTGCCAGTTGGCCATCTGCCCGTAGGTGTTGAAGATCTCCTGGCCCTTGCTGACGGGCCGTGTTGTCACCATCCTTAAACATTGCTGCAAGCAGGGAGAGAGGAGCCTCAGGGCTGCGCTGATCCCGCCGCTCTTGGGAACAAGGTGTTTCAGAGAGGCTCGGATGACCCGAAGCTCTTCCCAGCTAAAGCCAAACATGCACTACGAGCAAAATATTAACGAGATCCAGGCCAGACTTGCTGCCCTGGGTTCAGGGAGCCGGGCTCGCTCTGCTCCTCCTCCCTGCGAGGCCTCGGGGAGCGGGGACTGTGCTGATGCCTGGCGCAGCGGCTTTGCGCTCACGGGAGAATATTCCAGGTTGGCGTTGTGGTTGGCCACGTGATTCAAAATATCTGCTACAGGCACCATCATCGGAGGGTTGGGCCCCCTTTCATCTTCGTCTTCCTCCTCCAGAGGTTCCTGAAAGCTAACAGACAAGGGAGATGAAGACAAGCCAGCTTTACACCTGGCAGCACAGGGTAAGCTTCACCTTACACTCGCGTTCTTGTGGAGCCCCCACCTTTTAACTAGCACGGCTTTTCCTCTCGCCCCTTGTCGGAGCAGAGCCCTCGCTTCTCACCTGTAAGCCATGACAAATGCCACCAGCTGCTTGTACAGCTCCAGCGTGTGCACCTTGGGGTCGAAGATGGTGGGGTGGGACTCCATGAAAGGCAGGATGATGGAGCTGTACTCCAGGTGGATGTTAGCCAGGTCCTTGTCCACAGCTTCGGGGATGCCCGTGCCCTGTAGCAGCCTTGTTCGCTCTTCTTCAGGCCTGGTGCAAGAACAACACCACACTTATCTCCAGCTGCCGTGGAGAGAAGGGTTTGTAAACTCCTTTCTCCTTCACAACGGGCCGGGCCGCGCCTGGTGCTGTCCAAGTCTTGCATTCAGCCCCGGGGGGGTTACACCTTACCAGAACATGGGGTGATCCAGGCTCCTGAAGTCCTGCCAGAGGGAGAAATACGGCTGCCAGGGCGAGCTGCTGGCCGTGTACTCGTGCAGCAGGGCCAGCAGCAGCGGCACCCAGCCCGACTGGCTCTGCAGGGACTCCTGGGCTGAGGAATCGGAGAGAAGGGAGAAAATGTAAAATGAGTTAAGATTTTTTGGTCCTGGGGGAAGAATCTTCTTCGACCCAAAGCTTGATCCTCCCGCCCTCCTCCCCTGGCTTTAGTCTGGGGCTGGCAGCCTGATTTTTATCCTCTAAGCCCTTTCCAGGCTTGGGTTTGGCCTGAGCTGCTGCAGAACCAGAATCTGCTGCCCCAGCCTCGCTCATCCTCCCCCCTCCAGCAAGCCCAGAACCTTCCTTTCTCCTGGGCCTGATGGAAAGAACCAGCGCAGGGGTGACTGTCACCTAAAGAGCGGAGCGCTGCCACTCCGGGGGTTTTCTCCCTGGCTCCAGCCTCCCTGAGGCAAAGGGTGGGGTACCCCAAACCCGAAACACCCCCCCCCCTTTTTTCCTGCCTTTGTGCCCGCGCTCACCTTCCTGCAGCAGCGCCTGGATGGAGCTGGTGTGCTGGGACAGCACGGCGCTGCGGGGGACGCTGAAGAGGAGCTCTCCTTCCTCCAGCTCCTCGGCCGCCAGCACGCCGTACCCCGCCACCGCCCCCTCCCTGCTCAGGCGCACCTGGGGCGGGAGGGGAGCGCTGAGGGGAGCCGGGGGGGGGCCCGGAGCCTTTCCACCCCCCCCCCCCCTTCTCCCGCCCAGCGCCGCCTCACCTTGGGGCTGAGCTGCACCCCGGCCCGCCCGCACCACGCCAGGAAGGCGGCGAGGGGCTCGGCGCTGCTGCCGGCGGCCGCCGGGGGGGGACAGCGAGGGGGGGGACACAGAGGGGAGCGGCGGGGCCGCTCCGGTCCCCGCTCCGGTCCCTTGGGCCTCTTGGGCGCCGAGGCCATGGCGCTGCCCACGCGTGGGCCCCGCGCGGCTCTTCCGGGTAGGCGGGAAGCGCCGACGGCGGCCGCCGAGGGACAAAAAGCGGCGGCGGGGAACGAGGCGGGGGTGGGTGTGGGTGTGGGTGTGGGTGTGGGTGCGCCCCGGGGGGGCTCACGGCGCCTCTCTGGGAGGTGCAAGGGGGCTGCGGTGCCGGTCCGGGGTGGGGGGGGGGTGTCTCCTCGGGCTTCTCCCCGGCACCCAAGTGTCCCCACCGGCTTCGAGGGGCCCCGGTGGCTCTGCGGGTGCTCGCTGCGCCGGCGGGGTGACGCCGCCGTTACCAGTTAAAAGCAGCGGGCCCTAATTAAGCGGGATAATGAATCGGTCAACAGCCCCCCCCCCCCCCACACACACACACACAACCCACGACGCGTTCGGGCCAAGCTCCGATCTCCCTCCCGAGGCACCGGCCCCCGGCTGACTCCCCCCGCAGCACGGTTGCGTTCACCCGCTGCTCTTAACGACGCCCAATTAGCGCCCACGAGGTGCTTGACGAGGCCACGCCAGGCTCCCCGCGGGCCCACGCTGTCGCTTCGGGCCCCCCCCCCCCCCCCCTCCCCCCGTGAGGGTTTGGCGTGGGCCCGGTGCCCCGGCGGGAGCTGCGGGCTGGGGGTGCGGGCAGCGCGGCCGTGCGGGCTGAGGAGCCGGCGCTGCTCCCCGGGAAAGCGCAGCCCAAAGCCCGCTGCTGGCCGACTCTTATTTTTGAGGCCGCTGGGGTTGACCCCCAGAGCCCTCGCCGGGCTCCCCGCCTCCTCCGCTCCGTCCCTCTGGCTTTGGGCTTGGCCCCAGGGGGGGACGAACCCGCTGCCCGCGCCTCAGCTTCCCTGCGTGCCCCCTGTGTCCCCCCCCACTCCACGGCAGGGGTGCTGGCAGGGGTGCTGGCAGGGGTGCCGGGGCAGGGGTGCTCCTCCTGGGAGGACAGCCTCCACGGGGGGGTCCTGGCGGGAATGTCCCCCCGCCACCCTCCCCCCCCCCGGTGACAAGGGGTGCTCGGCGCCCGTCCTGGCCGTCCCCCAGCCCCCCCAAATGTGAGCCTGGATAGCTCAGCTGGGAGAGCATCAGACTTTTAATCTGAGGGTCCAGGGTTCAAGCCCCTGTTCAGGCGAAGGATTTCTCCTTTAGGAGCCCACGGGCATCTTCTGCTGCTGCTGGGGGGTCCCCAGGGTGGCTCTCACCCCCCCTCCTTCACTTATTTTCTCCGCCCCGCTCTTTTCTTCCAGCCATCACAGAAGAGAGGGGGATCCCCTGTGAGACGATGGGGAGGGCCAAAGGTGCTATTTGGGAGGCACCCCCAGAGGGAGATAAGGAAGGAGGGAGGAATTGGGTGGATGGGAGAAAGAGCAGAGCTGGAGGGAAGGAAGCCAGAGCTGGACAGGAGAACTGGGGGGGGGTTCAAGGGTGGCTCCCCGCCACCGGTTAGGGGGTGGGCAGCTCTTGGGGCACCCCCCCCCCGGGGCTGAGCACAGTTGAACCTCGAGCCTCGCGGGCGGTGTGTGGTACCCCCTGCCCGCCTTTTGCCATGCCCCAGGGCAGGGGCCACCACTGCACCCCCCACAGCCCCCCAAACCTACCCCCCACCACCACCACCTCGGCTCGGGCAGAGGCTCCCGGGCACCCGCCCCCCCCCCGGTGCCTTTGAGGGGCTGGAGGACGGTCGGTCGTGTTTTCGCAACGAGACGCGGCACCCGCATCAACCCACGAGCTTATTTTATTGGCCCGATGAACTTTTGCTTCCCAGCGGCTCCGCTCCCTCCCGCACGCGCGTGCCGAGCGCCGGCCTCTGCCTCAGTCATCATTCATTTCTTGCCAGCAAGAAAACAAAGAGATAATAAATAGGAAGCTTATTTGCGGGGGAGGCCCAAGGGACGGCCCGGGTCACGCGCAGCCACGGCCAGGGCTGCGCCTGGCCCCGGCCGGGGCGGGGGGGGGGGACGGCAGGGGGGCTGCAGGCAAACAAGCGGTCGCCCCACGGCCACGGGGGGACAGGACAGCCTGGCCCCGGGGCCACGCACGCTGCGGGGCTGGGGGAAGCTGCCGTCCCCGGGCAGGGTTGGCAAGGGGAATATAGCCATCTCTATTTAATTCCATTAAAATAGACTATTTAAAAAAATTATTTCTAGTAGTTAGAAAAAAAAAAAAAAAAAAAAACGAAAAAAAAACATGTCGTGGTCCATCCAACCCCAACGGGGGCCACGGAGTTGTGCGCCGGAGGTTTGGGGACCCGCCGGCCGGTGCGGGGACGGACCCCAGCCCGCCGTGGCAGCGGGTGCCCCGGGGTGGGCGTTAGCGGGGTGGCCCCCCCCCCGGGGGCACAGGCAGACCAAAGGGGAGGGGGAGCGGGCGCCCTCCCCTACCGACCGTCACCCCGAGGGGCTTAAATGACGTGGCAGCAGTTGAACTGCCCCAGCGAGAGGAGGCTCTCCTTGGAGCCCGGCCGGATTTTGAAGGCGAGGGCTTTCTCGCAGAGCGGGAACTGCAGGAGCCTGGCCCGCAGGCTGCCCCCTTTGCTCTTGCCCGGGTCCAGCTTGATCGCGCTCTCCGCACCCCCCTCGGTGCCCCCCGGGCCTGAACAATCCACCGACGCCGGGCTGGTGGGTGGCCCCTGCCCTGGGGACTTCTCCGTGGTCGTCTCTGCCCCCAGCACCTGGGGGACCCCAACGGAGCTGCTCCGGGGTGATGGGACGGCTCCCCCTTCCCCGGGGGGCTCCGCCGAGGAGCCCCCGGGGTCCGTGTCCTCCTTCCTCTTCGGGGGCTCAGCTCTGTCCCCACGTATCACCGGGGGACCCCGGCCCTTGCTCACCCCCTTCCCAGCCCAGGCCACCCCCAGGCGCCCGCCCCGGCCCCCCAGTTCGGCCCCTGACCCCCACACCTCCCCGCGGCCGGGCGGGCGGCGGGCGCGAAGGAAGGCTCGCATCTGCTCCTGGTTCAGCGAGCTGCTCTTCCTCTCCAGGGCGCTGGGCCTCCCTTCTTCCTCCTCCTCCTCCTCCTCTTCCTCCTCGCAGATCTGCTGCAGGGCTGGAGTGCTCTTAGTGATGGCGGTGTCAACGGCGGGGACCTTCAGCAGGGTCCCGGGGGGCTGCCGGATGCTGATGTCCCCTCCGGGGGGCAGGGGGGACAGCCGGGAGCTGGCGGCGAGGCCGCCCGGCACCTCCGCGAAGGGCAAGAGGCTGCCGGCGCTGCCCACGGCGCCGAACGAGTCCGGCAAGTTCGTCCTGAGAAAAAAAGGCGGGATGGAGGTGTGGGGACGCAGCCGGGCATCGCGAGGGCTGCAGCGGGGAAGAGGAGGCGGGAGCCTGCCCTGGGGAGCCGGGAGGGATTTTGGGGGGGGGCTCACCTGCTCTGCACCTCCTTGGCCAGGTTGTAGACGAGGCTGAGGCGACGGCCCTGCTGCTCCTGCTTCTCCCGCAGCATCCTCTCCGCCAGCAGGAAATACGTGGCCGTGATGTGGTTGTAGCGGTCGGCCTCCAGCGCCCTGCGCGGGACCCGGGTCAGCGCACGAGGGACGTGCTTGGAGGGACCCCCCCCCCCCCCAAATCACTCCCCGAGCCCCTCGCAGCGGCTCCCGCCCTCGGCAATCCCGCCCCGCCGCTCACTCCTGGATGGTGTCCCGATCCGCGATGTTCCCGCACGTCATGGCCTGGAGGATGATTTCGTGCTCCTCCTCGGACACGCGCTTGTGGGAGGTGAGGGGCAGCAGGCAGCGGCTGGCGGGGGACGGGTCCACCCCCTGCAGCCACGCGTGGCCCTCGATCTGCTCCAGGGAGGCTCGCCGCTTCGGGTCCCGCTGCAGCATCCTGGAGATGAGGCTGCAAGGGGGGGGGGGGGGGGGGGGGGCGAAGGGGGGGGAAAAGGGGCAACGCTGCAATGCCACAGCGGCAGGCGAAACCCACCCCCCCCCCCCGCCAAAACTCAGCAGCTTTACCCTCTTTTCCCAGCTCAGCTCCCAGGCATCCCCCCCCCCCCGCCCCCGCGGCCCAGGGGGGGTCTGGTGGCGGGGGTAGAGGTGCTTACTCAGCGCACTGTGCCGAGACGTGGGGGGGGACGGTGTAGCGGCAGTCCAGGATCATGGTGAGGGTCTCGCTGTCGTTGGCCTCCTGGAAGGGGGGGTGGCCGCACACCAGCATGTAGAGGATGACCCCCAGGCTCCAGATGTCTGCAAGAAGCGGCAGCACTTCAGGTTGAAGCCACCACGGCCCAAGGGAGAGACCCTGGGCGGGGGGGGCCAACCCCCCGGGTCCCCAGCATCGATCCAGCAGAAACCAGCGCTCACTGGGATGCTCCTCAGAGGTCCTGCCCCACGGATGGGGGGCAACCACAGCCCCACCAAGGACCTTCCCCATCGCCAGGTCTCAAAGGGCTTCACCAAAGCGGTTGAGGACTTATCCCCTTGCCCAGGTGGGGGACAGGGAAGCCAGCCCCGAGCTCCGTCCCCCTCTGGTCACTGTTTCATGTCATTATTATTCAGTTTCCCCGGTCCCAAACAGACCCCACCACGACCATCCCCGGCACTGGGCTGCGCTGGAGGGGACACCACAGCGACGGGACGGGGACACCGCAGTGCTCTGGGCTCTCCGGCCGCCTACGGCTGCGTGGGCACAGCCAGAGCGGGATCGCTCCCTGCCCTGGGGACGTGGGACGGACGGAGCCAGCGGCACCTTCACCCGCTCCTCCTGTCAAAGACACAAACCCTCCACCAAAGCGCTTTTTGAGGATGCTGAGCACGCCCCAGGGCTCTCCGTTAATACCTTCAGCTTCTTAAGTCAAGTGCCCGCGTTTGAAAATTTCTCATCTGCGCCGGTTTTCCCCTTTCATTTCCCTTCGCAGAGCCACCGGCTTATTTTTCTGCCATCTCTATCCCCGTTCTCAGCCCCAGAGCCGCCTCTCCCTGAGCCGCGACGCTGGGCTCGTGCTTTGTTTTGCTAAATCCTCCTGCCCCAAATCCCAGCAGAACTGGCTCGGGTCCCGCTCCCCTCCCACGTCCCAGCAGAACCTCTCGGTGCCCCCAGCCCGGCTCCCTGTGCCCCGGGACGGTCTCCCTGGCCCCCCCTGCACCCCGGCCAGGGGAGAGAGGGTGCCGGGAGCCACGGAGAGGAAGCGTTTTTCAGGGCGGGGATGGAGCAAAGGAAACTTTTGGAGCTCCTCCGCCCAAACAGCAGCAGCCCGAGCAGGTTTCCTTCCGGCATCAACCCCCAAAATAACCGCTAGCACCGGCTTGCCGGCGGCTGCACCCTCGCACCCCGCCAGGCTCGCAGCCTGTTTGGGCTTTTCCTCCCCCTCCCTGGCGCGAACCATCGCTCCGTGGGATCTTGGTGGGAGCGGGGACGGTCTCCACGGGGAGGACGGCCCCGTGCCAGGGCAGGGCAGGGTGTTTAGGGGACAAAAGCGTGGTGGCACCCGGCCGGCAGGCCCGCGGCTGCGCCCCATCGCCCTTACCGACAGCCGGGGCGTCGTACTCATCCCCGAGCAGGATCTCGGGCGCCGAGTAAGCCAGCGAGCCGCAGCTGGTGGTGAGCATCTTGCCGGGTTGGAAGCGGTTGCTGAAGCCGAAGTCGGTGAGCTTGACCACCCCCTGCTCCTGGAAGAAGACCACGTTCTCGGGCTTGAGGTCGCGGTGCACCACGTGGAGCTTGTGGCAGTAGGAGATGGCGTGGACGATCTGGGCGAAGTAGTGCTTGGCCCGCGCCTCGGCCAGCCCGCCCTCGTGCCGCATGATGTGGTCGAACATGTCGCCGCCGTCGCCCAGCTCCAGGATGAGGTAGAGCTTGGCGTGGGTGTCGATGACCTCGTAGAGGCGCACCACGTTGGGGTGCTGGACCAGCTTCATGCAGCGCACCTCTTGGAGGAGCTGCCCCGCCGCCTCCCCCGCCAGCTTGCTCTTGTCGATGACCTTGACAGCCACTCGCTGCCCGGTGAAAACGTGCCGCGCCAGCTTCACCACCGCGAAGTGGCCCTTGCCCAGCGTGTGCTCCAGGTCGTACAGCCCCGCGATCTTCCCCTCGCCGCAGCCCTGCGCCCCGGCCATGGCGGCCTCAGGCGGGGACGGGCATCGGGCGCTGCGGGACGGGGGAGCTGCTCAGCAATGCGAGGCTGGGGGGGGGACAGGGGGACAGGGTACCCCTCCAATACTGGGTCCCCCAGCACCCCCGGACACCAGGATCCCCAAGGCGCCAGTCTCCAGCAGCCTGGCCACCCCCGACACCCCACCCGGGACATCCCAGTATTCCCACCTCCCCTCCTCAGTACCCTAGGGCACCCCGATACCCCCACATCTGGGTGACCAGCACCCCAGTACCCTGGGTACCCCACTGCCCTCCCCTCCGCTCCCCAGCGTCTTGGGCACCTCCACTCCCCACCTCCAGGTCCCCATGACCCCAGCACCCTGGGCACCCCAATACCCTCCACTCCCCAGCACCCCGGACTCCCCCATATTGCCCACCTCCATGCCTCCAGCACCCCGGACACCCCCATATTGCCCACCTCCAGGTCTCCAGCACCCCGGACACCCCAATATCCTCCCCTCCATTCCCCAGCAACCTGGACATCCCCAGTGCCCCCACCTCCAGGTCTCCAGTACCCCAGGCACCCCAATATCCTCCACTCCCCCTAGGCACCCCCATGTCACCAATCTCCAGGTCTCCAGCATCCCGGGCACCCCAATATCCTCCCCTCCACTCTCCAGCACCCTGGGCACCCCCACACCCTTACTTCCAGGTCTCCCGCACCCTTGTCACCCCCAAACTCCCACCTCTAAACCCCAGCACCCTAGGCACCCCCATATCGCCCACCTCCAGGTCTCCAGCACCCTGGACACCCCCCCCCCAAACTCCCACCTCCATTCCCCAACACCCTAGGCACCCCCATATCGCCAACCTCTAGGTCTCCAGCACCCCGGGCACCCCAATACCCTCCCCTCCACTCCCCAGCACCCCCATACCCTTACCCCCAGGTCTCCCACACCCTTGTCACCCCCATACTCCCACCTCCACTCCCCAGCACCCTAGGCACCCCCATATCGCCCAACTCTGCGCCTCCAGCACCCTAGGCACCCCAATACCCTCCCCTCTACTCCCCAGCACCCTGGACACCCCCGACCCGCCCACCTCCAGGTCCCCAGCAACCCCGGGCACCCCAATACCCCCCCCCGGGGTGCAGCCCCGGCCCGGCCGCACTCACCGGGGCAGCGGAGCTGGGGCCGCCGGGGCTGCGGCTGCCCGGGCGCGCCCGCCCGCCCCGCTGACGTCAGGGCGGCTCCGGGCTCGCGCCTTAAAGGGCCCCGACCGCCGGGGCTGAGGCCGGGGCGATGCTCATCGCACCTCCCGAGGCAGCGCTGCCCGCGGCTGCCCTGGGCCCGGCCCACCGGTGCCCGTTTTGGGGGCGGCATTAATGGTAACGAGGGCCGGTAACGAGCTCAGTGTTGTCACCCCGGAGGGGGGGGGGGGGGTGTCCCTCGTGGGACACGCTCCCACCTTGCCGCCCGCTCCCACCCTCGCTCGGGCCGGGAGCTCCGAGCCAGGGCTGGGGGCACAGCCTCGGCCCCTCGTTCCCCCCCCCGCTCCCCGCTTTCCGCCGGGAGCCCTGTTTTCCTGGAAGCGGCCCGGCCGCCTCATTTAGCTCGTTAGGGGCTGCGGGGACGCGCACAAAGCAGAGGATGCTCCTGCAGATTAAAAAGCTCTCAGCGTGGCCGCTCTCGTTAGGGCTAATGCCTTCCCAGAAGTTCTCCGCCCGCCGCCCCGCAGGCTGCAAACAAGCCCTAATGAGCGGGGCCGAGGGTCCCGCTCGGGGGGGGGGGGGGCTGGCGTGGGTCGGGGGGGGCAGCACGGAGCGGGGACCCGACCCCCACGGGGCTGGGGAGGGAGGAGCCGGGAGGATCAAGGTGGCCAGAGGCTCCTGCTGCAGGAACGGGGCTGGTTGAGGCCACTCAGCACCCACCCGAGCTTTGGGAATGGGAAAAAGGGGGGGGGGGGGGGGGGCTGCCAAACCTGCCTCTAACTCAAGATGAGTCTTCATGGGGCATGCGGGGTGCTGTGCCCAGCGGGTGCTGGCAAGGGCAGAGCCCCGGCCACCAGCCTCCCTTGCTGGGCAGGTCACAGCCCATTGCTCACATCTTATTCCCCCGTTTCGCTGAAGCCACCCCAGGACACGGGCGTTTCCGAAAGGAGCCCAGCTGAGCTGCGACCCCCGGAGTCTGTAGGGTGCTGAGGGAGATGCTGGTGGGGAAGCAGAGGCGTTGGTAGCCCCTGGGGCGCCGGGTGCCTGGGCAATTAGCCACCCTGTGAGCGCAGCCGGGGATCTGAACGGAAAGGTGATTCCTTTCTGGCTTCTGGCACCGGGGTTTCTAGCAAACAACTCTGCTGCTCTCCGCACCGGGTGGGACTGCGGAGGCTCCGCGAGCCGCATCTCCCACCACCTGACCCTCCGTTCCTGGTGCCTCTCCACTAGTGAAAGGCCCGTGCGTGTGGGGGCCGGGCCCTTCTCCTGACGGGGTGCTGGGTGCTGCACCCCAGCTGCAGGTCCCTCTCCCTTTGCACAGCTGCCTGCTGTACACATGCCGACACCCTCGGTTGAAAAAAACGACAACAGGCACGTGGTACGCTGGGGTGCTGCGTCCGTAACGCACAGCCCCCGGGGCGGTGAGAGGCTGCAGAGGTGCCACCTCCGCCGGCGCCGGGCCCCGTGACTGAGGCCACATCGGGCTGACTGCAGCTCCCTCTGGGATTTGGAGCGGCCCTCAAAGGTCTCTGCACTGAGACGCTCAAAGGAGCCACGTAGGATGGCTGTGAAAGCCAGTCAGGGCAGGGGAGAACCGAGCAGCCGGTTCCTTCCTTCCTTCCTTCCCGTGCTGGAGTCAAGCCCGGGGTGCACAAGGAGCCCCTCTGAGCACGCCCGCCTTGGGGAAGCAACAGGTTTTCCAAAAGATTCATGAACGAGGGACGCAGTGAGCAGAGGTGGGAGCCTGAAGAATCTGCAGATGGCGAGCGGTCAGCAGTTGGAGGACTTCTGGAGGCTCTGGGCTATGGCTGGGTGCCTGCCAGGAGCTATGGGTGGGCAATATTCCCTTTGAAAACGGGTAGCGAGCTCGGCATGTCTTTGGCGAGGAGCCTGTAGCCCTGGTATTTCTCAAGTTGGGAACGAGATGTCCTCGGGCTGCAGCCTCGGCGCTGCTCAGGCATGGCTGGAAAGGGAAGCGGCCTGGAAGGGCGGTGGGGATCGCTCCCCAAAAAACTTGGGAGTTTGGGGCCAGTGGGGATCTGTTCTGCCCCGCAGCCGTGCGGGGCGCAGAGAAGGAATCCTCCCTCCCGCGCATCTCCCCGCCAGCTGCCTCTCCGTCCAGACAAAGCGCGGTTTCCAGAGAAGCCCACCTACCTGGTAGTTAGCAGAGTCATGTGGCTGCAGCACTTAATTAATAAAAAGCCGATATAAATTCCAGTAAGCATGTGGGGAGGAGGACATCGAGGCAGAGAGCGGTAGCGGCGCTCCCAGCGAGCCCGGTGGAGCAGCGAGCGGCAGGCCCCCTCTCTGCTCGGAGAGGTCAGTGCGTACACCGGGGAGGGTCTGGGGGCATTCGGGGTGCGATACCCACGGCCGTGGGGCTCACCACGGCACGGAGGGGGTCTCTCCCAGCAAAGAGCTGGGTGGTTTTGCGGGGATGGGGAGGCTGGCACAGCTCAGGGCTGCTGGGGCTGCCAAAGCAGCGGGTGCTGGGTTTCACCGGACTCGGTTGCTGGCAGCAACTTGGGGTCCCCCCTCCCAGCCCCTTTTCTTTCGCTCCCGAAGACTTTCACTTTCAGACCCCCCAAAGCCCACAGCCTGAGCCTGCAAGCACCTGCTCTCCCAGTCCTACCCCCAGCTGTGCCTGGGATGTTCCTCCTCCCCGCCCAGCCCCTCCAGCCCAGCCTCACCCCCCTCTCAACATCCTACCTTCACCTTCCTCCCTTCTGCTGGATCCCCCTACGAGGCGGGAGGGAGAAGCAAACCCTGCACTGGGGGCAGGTGAAAACCTCAGGCTGGTCCAACCAGGGGGACACGTCCTGATGATGGTGCCACTGTCCCAGGCGGAGGGGGCTTTGCATCCAAACCCTTCCCACACGGAAGCCGTGCAGCCGGGTGTCAGCGGGTTTTTCGGGTAACTGGGTGGCACGGAGGGACTGGAGCCCCCTGTGAGGGTCTTGGCCGTGACATCCAGCCCACCACTGCAATCCTTAGGCAAAACAACATCCATCCCTGCTCTCTCTTCCAGCCTCCGCATCACACTTTGTCTTCTCAAAGCCCCATGCTTGTTTATTGTGCCCAAACCCCAGGATATGGTTGCAAAAGGAGTTGTAGCAAAGCAGTTGGTCATTTCCTGGGGACTTTCAGGGAGATTTCTGTCTGCAGCTGCTCCAGCTGCAACATGCAGAAGGTCTCTCGTGTTTCAACCACGTTAAGTTGCTCTTGCCCGTTCCCTGGGCTCCTGCCTGCCGTGTTGCGTTGCGAACCTGCCCATATGGCTGGGCGTGGAAACATGGCTCAAGGGCTGGTGGCTGGAGAGCCGGGGGAGAAAGCAGGACTGGGAGAGGGAGGTGTTACACAGGAGCTGGACAAGAAGCAGGGAGGTGCTGGGCCATGAGTCGTGCTGCTCTCGGCACTGCCGTGGAAAAGGGCACGGGATGGAGCTGCTGGTGAGTACGCGGCTGCCTCTGCAGTGGTACCTGGGGACCTCATGAGATCCCAGCGCTGGCTGCAAGGTCCTGGTTGCACGCCCAAGCCCAGATGCAGAGCAAGCGGTAAACATTAGCTTCTGGTCTTTAAAACCAGCGGAGTTTCCACCCTTTGTGAGGGGAAGTGCCTGGCAGGAGCTGTGCTGGATGCATCGGCCACATCCCGTGCATGTGCAGGCGGTGGATGCACCGCGATGGTCTGGTGGCAGCTGAAGGCTGTGCCTGGGGCAGGGACACCCAGAACTGCTGCAGAAAAGATCAAGTCTCGCTCCATCCTCGGCTGCTCACCCCCACTTCTGCAGTGAGATCACGAACGTGCCCGCTTGTGGGGTTGCCCCACAGCACATGCTTTAACTCTGGAGGGTCCACGTGAAGCTCCCAGGTGGGGGGTGGCCCAAGAAAGGCTCTCAAGCCCGACAGCAAACAGCCCGGCATGGCGGCGGTGCCGGCAGAGGCTGCCCCTTGCCGATGTGGGGGTGCTGGTGGTGGGGTGGGGGCCAGGCCAGGCTGCCAGCGGGGCGGGCTGACTCTGGCTGGGACCCCTCTGCGCAGGTCTGTCCCCCCCTCAGGACTATGCTGAACATGCTGCTGCTGTGCTGCGGGCTGCTGCAAGGCATCCAGGCCGTCCTCACCACCGACCTCAGCTGCGGCCACCTGCAGAAGGGGAGCGGGGGGCTGGAGGGGGCCGACAGAGCCCGCTACTCCAGCCTGCTACGGAAAGTCAAGGAGGTGTCTGCGGAGCCAGCGGGTGAGTCCTGTGCCCTCCCCCCCCGCCAGCCGCTCACGGGCACACCCAGTGTCCCAAAATTGAAGTGGGGACCCCACACCCAGGGTCAGGTGCAGGGGATCCCCTTGAAGCAGCCCAGTTTCTCCTGTCGCTGGTTAGTCAGAACACCACGGCAGCCCACAGGGAGTGGGGGGGCGCTTTTTTGTGGGGACACATGACCACAGGGAGCAGAATCAGAGCTGCCCGCCCCCCTCCAGCAGCCTCCTTGTCCAGCCTCTCTGTTTCTCGCAGGAGCTCTCCCCAGGCTGGGGTTTGAGCAGATGGCCCTGGAGGTCCAAGAAGCCAACGGTGACCTTGTGCCGAGAGGCAGTGCGCTGGAACCGCAGGTAACGCTCCCTGAGCTTTCTTACAGACACCCCAAATTGCAGGGTGGCCTCGGGCCACGGCAGCCTTCTCTGTGCCCCTGGGACCAGGGCTGGTTTGCAGCCTGGGAAGGGAATATCTGTTCGTTGCCTGCTGGGGAGCAGCAGGAGCTGGGATGAGCTGAGGCTGCCCAGAGCTGCAAGGAGCTCCAAGGAGGGTTGTCCAAGCCCACACTCCTGCAATCCATTTAATTAACCTCAAGCACAGTCCAGGAAGCCTCTGCAGAGCAGGGGCTCACCAGACAGTGCTGCATCTTGCCTGGCTCAGCCCCCGGTACCTCTGTTCGAGCAGAAGGCACCGCACCCTTCACTAAAGTCAAGGCTGCGCTTCAACATCAATGTGTGGATAAAGGCCTTGAGCCGTGGTGGATGAGGCACTGACATCCGCAGGGAGCCCAGCAGATATTTCCAACACGCTGACAGAGCTCTCCGCTGCCGGCAGCGGTGGATTTCAGCAGCCGCTCTTGGCTCTCTCCATGCAGTTCTTTATTGCTGGTGCAGTGGTCAGCACCAACTCTTTTCCCTCCTCTCTCTCCGCCAGGCATCGTCCACGGAACTGCAAGCTGCAGGCCGGGAAGAACGCTCGCCCCGCCGCTGTGTCCGTCTCCTGGAGTCCTGCCTCGGGCACCAGGTCCCCTGCTGCGACCCCTGCGCCACCTGCTACTGCCGCTTCTTCAACGCTTTCTGCTACTGCAGGAAAATCAGCACCAGCTTCCCCTGTGGCAAGAACTAGCGCCCATGCCACGGGGCTGCCCGCTCCTTGCCAGCGCCTGCCACCTCCTCCTCTGCAGCTCTAATAAACCACGTTAGCAAAAGCCAGCACCGAGTGGGAATGGTTCAATGCGTCCCCTTAGGATCTTGGGGGAGAGGGGTAGTGGCAGGGTGAAGGCACCTGCACCCAGGTGGGCACCGTGTCCACACAGCCATGAGTCCAGGGCACCTCCGCGTCAAACAAAATGAGATTTTTTTTTTCCTCAGAACACCTTCTGCAGGGTCCTTCCCGGCTGGATGAGCGGTCTGTCAGCAGGAGCGGTGCCCCAGGAGGGGACATTTCGCAGCGCTGCGCTGGGAGTTTAACTTGTGCTCTTCTCCTGACAGTATCGCTCACGGCGGCCCAGGGGGGTTCACAGCAAGGGACCCTGTGAGCTGTCAACCCCAAGAATTAGTGACCACCCGCGGTTTGGCCAGACACCATCACCTCCTCCACCACTAACCCACATGCCGCCAGGCGCGCTCGGGGTGAGGCAAAAAAAGTGTCCGTGAAGGCTGTGAAAAGCCCTAAAAACCTACAGACAGGTGCGGGGGCGAAATTTCAGTCCTGGCGCTGGGTGAAGACGCGCTTGAGGAGGGCTTCAGCCCCGCTCCGTGGGGATGCAGGAGGCGGCGCAGGGAGAGGAGGGGGAACAGCCCCCGCCATCTCCTCAGGCGCTTCCCGCCATTCGCACGGCCTGCCGGGAAAGGGGGGGGGAGAACGCGCGCGCGCGTCAGGCGTCACGTGATCTCCGGTCACGTGAGGCGCCGTGGCTAGTCGGGCCCGTCTCGTCGCTCGCCGCCATGTCGTCTTTCCCCGAGCTGTATTTTAACGTGGATAACGGTTACCTGGAAGGGCTGGTGCGCGGTTTTAAGGCGGGGGTGCTCCGACAAGGCGACTACGTGAACCTGGTGCAGTGTGAGAGCCTGGAGGGTGAGTGGCGGTGGGGCTCCGAGGCCCTCGGGGGCTTTTCCCCCCCCCCCCAATACTGAGGGGAAGGCCGGGCTGAGGGGAAAACTCGGCGGGTGGGAGGGCGGGGGGGGGGGGGGGGGGGGGGGGCGAGGAGCTGCGCGTCAGCGGGGAAAAGAGCCGAACAGCGGCCTTTCTGAGGCGCTGTCCCCTCTTCATTCCTTTGGCTAAGCAGGAGGTTGGTCCTCCCCCAACACACACCTCCGGCTGCTCCCTCCGAGCTCAGCTGACTCAGTTCTCCGGTCAGCCTGGCCATGGGATTGCAACAGCTGATACGGTGGTTTGAGGAAGCTGAAGCTACCAGTGCTTTCTGGAGGTGGCCGTATAGCTCTGGTGCTTGCCCTGCAGTTGTTGGGAGCCTGGCAGGTTTGTCAGGCTTTGCTGATGAGTCTTGTTTTGTGCTTTCACTTCCTAAATGGCAGGTAGGGTAGGAAACCTTTTTAAAGCCAAACACGAGATTACTGGGGTAATTTAACTTAATCCCTGAGACCCATGATGGTTTTCTGAGGAGATTTGGTTGCCTAGGAAAGTACCTGCTGTTATTGAAGAATTGCTAGTGGAAAAAAATCTGCTGCAGATCTTAGTAAATTCTCCAGTGGCTTACCTTTCACTTGTAATCTTGAGTTCTCTTTTGAGGATAATTATGACACTAATTCTGACTTCTGGCCATCACCTGTTTCCTAGATCAGTGTGCACAAACCTGGAGAGCTGTGAAGGTTTTGCTCTGTGATACTCGTCACCTCTGGTCAGCTCATCGTCTTAATTAGTCAGTGCTAAACTATTCCTCTGTATCTGTGACGTGATTAACTGTTTTCACTCATTGATGTCCAGAATCTGGATCACAAATCACAAAGATCAAAACCAGGTCTCTGTTGAAATAGGCTAGAAACAGCCAGAGATGTTGGTTGTTTTGGTCAGTGGGACTATAATTATTGGATCATTCTTTCTTCTAAAAAGACTAGTTAAGCATCAGCTTTATCTTGATCGTTGCTGAGCAATTGAAGTTATTGACTATCTAGAGGAATCCTTGGCCAGCTGAACTCTGGATGCAAGTTACCTGGCGCTGCTCATCTAAATGTTAAACAACAAAATGGGAACAGAGTGCTGTGATGTGCCTCAGTCTCTACCTTAAAAAACACCCAGGGGGTTTTCACTTAGGACAGAAGCCCGTTTTCAGCTAGACATTTTTGCAGCTCTTTGCTTGTAGCAGTCTCTGTGCTTCATTATTGCTTTGGAGCCCAGGGCCTGAAAGAGGGTGATGGGAGGTATCCCGGCTCTCTTGCTAGTCAGAAGTCTCAGCATGCCCTGAACTATGACTTTATCACCTTCCCTTCAGATAACTTCCTCTTTGGAGTCTTTCTGTACTTACAGCTTCTCTTTTTTTCTCCCTTTCTTGCCTTCTGAACCAAGTTGTGTAAACTTAGCTCTCCCCTGGAGTGGTGTTTTCTGCATTTGGAATGACTCAGTTTGGAGTTCCCGGATGTCTTGGTATCATTACTGTCCTGTCCCTGGCAGCTCTCTGGTGGCAGCTGCTGCTGTGCTCCTTGTCTGAGCTTCCTTCAGAGCCTGAAGGCAGTTCCAAGTTCACTGCCAATCTCGTTCTTCCTCCACTTGGCTTTCTGTGCCTGTGTCTAGTGTGCTCTTGTAGAGGGATTTTCCTTCAGAGGAACATTGCTCTTGATCACTTATGTACATCTATGGTTAGACTGTTTCTTTCCTCTGTTCCTTTAGTACAGATTTTATCATTTTGGTACCTGTTTTCCGTGCTCCACAGATTTTTAAATGTGTTCTTTCTCTCCCAGATGCTTGTCTGCACCAAATCCAGGCATCATTTAGCTTATTAGCAGTTGAAATAAATACTCGGGCATAAAACACTCATGCATTCTTCTCTACAATTTCTGTTTTGTATTTGCTGCTGCCTCTTGCATGCATGTCTGGCTCTGCAGTTAGTCCCAGTTGTGGAGCGAATGATCACCTTGGACGTGGAGAAGTTCTGAAAGAACAAGGCCTGGCCCTGGGAATTGGGTATCTGGCTGGTTGCTGGTATTGACATTGGTTGGAGGACGTTGTGCTTCCAGGTCTGAAATGCTGCTTCCTCTCGTGTGCTTGGATCGCTCTGGAAGCACAAAGGAACTTGGGGACTTAGGCTGACAGCTCAGTGCTGCCAGAAGGAGGAAATCATGCTTTTTTGCTTGATCCTCTGTTGTCTCTGCTTGTCTGATCCTCAAGTAAGCTGATTTGAGCTCTTGCTTCTTGATGAGTCAGAAATAGAGAGCCAAATAGGCTCACTGTGGTCAGGCAGGCTCCTGAGCTGGCGTTAAGAAGGGACAGGATTGAGGGAATGATGCAAGAGCTGTTTTGGCTTAGTCCTTCTCTTGAAACCCTCAGCAATAATACATTTAATCCCTTCTTTTACCTCCAAAAGTCCTGGTGCTTTGGTTGTTTGTCAGCCAGAGGTCCCTGTGTGCTGTACACCTGTGTGTGGGGATATTGCTTGGAAACTGCTTGGGCCTCTCTGCTGCAGCCAATTCCTGCTTCTGACACAAGGTGTCAGTGAAAGACTCAGAGCCGCTTTCCTCTGCTTCAGCAGTGTAAGTGTGGATCTGTTCTTGAGTGAAATCTCTCTTGGCTAACCAAACTTATGAGTCACCCAGATTTCTACTGTCAAAACGATGGTGAGCTGTCTCCAGCTCCTAAAAGCTGTGGTAGCCTGTTAGAGGTCTGATATCGTCTCTGGAGAACAAAAAGCTGTTGATGCAGTTGGACAGCGATGCGGCTTTTAAGAAGCAGAGTTCAGTCTAGGACTGGAATGTAGATTATCGGCAGGCTTTACTGTTGGTCTGCAGTGCTGCATACTTCAAAAAGTATATGGAGCCTGGGAAGTGCACAGAAGCATCTTCTTTAGAAACAGGAATTCCTTTACTTTCAAGTCAGTGTTCACGAGCCTCCTATTACTAGCGTTCCTCTTACTTCCACAGCAGTAGTGTAGGAAACTGATTTCTTTCTGACCTGCCAGGGTTGTAAAGGCAATTGGTATGGTGAAATCCAGCAGCAGCACGTGTCACCTTCTAGCTGGGTAATGAGGCTGTGAAATGGCCAGCTGAGAAGTGGCAGGTGGCTCAAGCTTGTTAGTGTGGGCCTCTGTTGGGAGAAGCTTTCCAGAGGCTGTGTGCTTCCACCACCTCTCTGTGGGTGCTGGTGCTTCTGTCTGTGCAATTGGTTCAGCTGGGGACTCGCACACCTTAAGGAAACAGTGGTGTGCACATGGAGGGATGGAATCGGTCCTCTCTGAGGCTTAAGCTGGGTGTGGATCTAGTCTCGTGCCACCGCAGGGGTCTGTCGTGGTTTTTTTGTGCATCTTGGCCTGCAGTTTGTCAGTCTGCTGTGGACGTGTCCTGTGAAAACTCTTGGGTTTTCGGTCCTCTTAACCCCAAGGTAGTAGTGTCATGTCACATTAGCTTGGAGAAGAGCAGAGTAACCATCTGAGCCCCAAAGATGTACTGGGGAGGCGACAGATGTCTAGGAGAAGAAAATAAACGTAATTCTTTTAGGAAGAAAGGGTTTGCAAGGCTGCAGTTCTGTCGTCGTCTCGGTTTGGTTCACTAGGCCTCCATTTTTAGGACGCATGCGAATCAACAGTGAAATTGGAGAGCTTGAGGCAAGTAGGTCACACTTGTCCTAGACAGCCTGGCTCCACACCAGCTGGAGGGCACAGTGGTCTGTCTGAATGGTATCCGCACACATGCTGGAGCCTTGTTTCCTGTCAGATGCATCCGTAGCAATATGTAGTGGACACTAAACGCTTGATACAGGGCTGGATGGAGTGGAATAAAAATAAAGCAAGACTGAACAGGTTGGTTGGTTGGTTTTGAGTCTTGAAGAGTAGTACCAAGGTTGTTCTGCATAGCCCTCTGCCCAGAAGGGGAGTGCTGCTTTCAGTCAGCTCCAGAGTGGATTGCTAAAGGCTTGCTGTCCTAAATGCCTCTTCAGTGTAGAGACATCCACTTCTTCCCCACTTTCTCCTCTTCCCTCTTTCTCCACGTAGAGGAGAGGTGATGAAATATATGGAACTGTACTGAGCACACAGTTGAGCCACTGTGGGGTGAAGTGTGTGTGTCTTCCTGTTGTGTAACCCACAGGACAGCTAGACACACCGAAGCAGAGGCCTGCCTGAGCAGAGCTGTGGGCTCTTGCCTCTAACAAATGGATGTTGGGGAGTGTGTCTGACATGCACCAGGCTTCTGCTGAGTGCAGCGTGTGCTTTTCTTTTCATAGTCCCAAAGGTCTTTCTGTCCCCCAGAGGCTGCCTTTGCTTTATGACATTACATATTGAATGTTCGCCACATCTCCTTTTGCTGAGAGAAGAGCGGGAGAGGCTTGTGCTACCCTTCTGTCTTCCATCTTATCACTGTGGTCCTGGAATTTGGGCCCTGAAAGGCTGGAGCTGGGCTCCACTTTCAGTTTAACTGCATGGGCAGTATGTCCTCTCTTGTATAGAGAAGCTGCATTGCTACCAGTGCTACAGGCTGCCTCCAGGAGTGCTTTTGCCACCTCAGGCAGTGGTGGAGCTCATGGTGTTCCCCTGGGTGTAGGGGGAACAGGATAGATCCTTCCCTGTGGAGCTCTTTTGCTGTACAACCAAGCAGGGAGAGAGAGGCCACTTGGTGGTCCTGAAGTGTGGCCATGCTTAGATCCATCTTGAATTCTGAGAACGATTCACTTTGTACCCTGAATTCGGTAGGTGTTGAGGCTAAGCCCTGATGTGGTAGGGACCTTTCGAAAGCACGGTGATGATGCTCTGTGTGTCTTGACATGGAGGAACCCTTTGTGAAAAGCTGACCCTTGCTTGCTGGGACTGTGCAGGAGGACTAGCCCCGTCCCCAGAAGCTTTCATCTGCCAGATGAGGTAGAGCACATGGAAACGGTGAGACCCGAGGAGGGTATAGACCATTCCTGTCCCGTGA